ATCAAGTTAAACGGTCTCAGGATAATTCTCTAAAATACATACAGTTTATGTACTATGTATTCCCCTTCAGGGCAATAAAGCGCACATACTATATCAATATTTATAACTGTGTTTATTTACCACTACTGAACCCTTGCCAAACAGCAATTTTAGACCATGATAAATTACACCCTCAATTTTAATGTAGCACTCAAAACTGTGCTTGCCACCAGCCTTCAAGCAAAATCCCAGCAGTCCAAGCCAATTTGTAATATCAGATTTATGGCGCAGAGATCCTAACTAAGAATGCCAATCCTACCCCTTGGTCATTGCTACCACACTGCCACCTCCTGTCTTATGACTCTGGAAGCTTGAATCAGAGGCAACAGGCGATAAAGGAAACTCAGCTAAGAATAGCACAGCTAACCATCTCGTCTTTCCGCCTCTCCTTCCTCCCAGACCAAACCAACCGCCAAAGTTACTGAATGGATAATTCATACCTTTCAAAAATTAGTTACTGCTAGAAAAGTTGCTGCCTGCACACTGCTCAAGACAATTATAATGAAGTCACTTCAGATATAAAAAGATGGTTCAACAGCTTCACTTTAATACAAAATCTCAATCCTATAACACATTAACTGAAGCGGTATGGCTCATGAAAGGGTTTCAAAGCATGGCAAAGATCATTTCCCTCTTGCTGACTGCCTGAAAGAGGTACATGGGCAAAAGCAACTGAGCTACCACACTACGGAAAAACTCAAGTCAAGCTTCTTACAGGGAAAACCCCAGATCTCTGTAATTCCAAAAGAGTTTGAAGCCTTAGCTAGTAACCCGTTTATTCCAAGCAGAATGGTAAAAATCTCAACAAAATACTGCATGCCCCTTGTAGTTTATTATAATGGCATTTGGCCTTGAATAGAGAATGTAAGCGATCACACAAATCAAAAGGAACGCCAGAACAGAAGCCAAGATTCTTGATTCCCACCGGCTCCAGGCACATGTCATGTTTCCATAACATCTTCCTGAGTTACTGTGGACAACCACACAGTAGAAGCTACTTACCAACAATCAATTTAATTTTTTACAGTTGTATTAAAACCAAAGAAATTTTTCAAACTGTTTTGAGAAAACACGAAACCAAGAAAAAAACCTCTCCAGCTACAACAATTTAAGCAGCCACACATTGATCTTAAACTGAGCATTCCAAAGATTATCCTTCTTATGATTCTTTACCAGCCACGAAAGTTTCCTAACATTCAGAACCAAGTGTCTACATGTGTGAGAAACTCCCCCAATTCACAAGATTCAGCAATACCACACTGATAAGGAAGGGGTACACTCCTATTCATACCTGTGTGTTTAAATGTTCCACATTAAAAAGAGCTTTCCTTGTTCTAAGACTTTGAAGTCAGCCCCACGATGAGGGGTCACATGCTTTGGCTAATGGGCATATTGTTGGTTATGGTACCATCCTATTCTATACTTAACAGCTATTAAAATGCAACAGTAGATTTTAAGTAGCCACTGAAAGTATGATCCATTTAAAATCGCAGTTACTTTTATAATACTCTATCCAATTTACATGTTAAACACAGATTCTAATATGGAAATAAGTTGTTCACTTATTTATTTTAGAGATGAGGTCTTCCTCTGTCACCCAGGCTTAAGTGTAGCGGCCTGATCATAGCTCACGGCAGCCTTGAACTCCTGAGCTCAAGCGTAGCCTCCTGAGTAGCTGGGACTACAAGCAAGCACCACCACACTCAGCTTATTTTCTTTTTTTAAGGAAACAAAGAGGGACATTTGAGCTTAGGCATCACAGTTTGTTTTATAGGATCCTTCCCGGAAAAATATTAACTATAATATCTTATTTTTTTCTCCTTCATTCAAATATATTTTCAGCTACATTTAATCCCAATTAATGCTAACAGCTAAATCATGAGGAAGTTTAATCAGAAATGGTGACGCAATAGAAAAAAATACGAAATTATATTCATAATTTTAAAAAGCCACGGAAATTGAACTAAAGCCACCATCCTCTCAGTTCCCTTACTGTCAGCAACTTTCCTGTTCCCTCTCCCATGCCCAACAGCCCACAACATAACAAAAAAGGACATCAGTGCTATTTACATAATCACATAGGGGCACATACAAGCCCCACAAGATACCAGCAGCTCTTCCAACAAAACTCAGCTACAATCTTCAAAGTCGCAACTACGTCCACACTCACCCTTACCTCCAAGGGGAGAAAAACGCTAAGCCTATACCTCCGAGTCATCAAGTCTTCATTTGCTTTATCTTTTAACACTATCACAGATATCCAATGCAATTTTCTCTTCATCCCAGACGCAGGGACCTCAAGGTCTATGAAGTACTGCTATAATCTTCCCCAACTGAGGGGTGTCTGAATGCAGAAAAGCCACATTCCTTCCACATTCCCTTGAGACTTCGGTAATCAGGAGTTAAGCTTGGTCTGAACCAAACTCAACAATGCCCCTTGCTGAAAGGGTCCCCACCCAGCTTCAAAGTCAGAGCTAGACCAGCCTGCCAAGCATCCAATCACCTCCTGGGCCTGCTCCCCTGTTTAGTTAGTGCAAGTCCATTCATCCATCTAAGCCTGCTGCCATAGCATTCTCCAGCACCAGGTTCCCAGCATGCCTCGCACCAGGTTCCCAGCATGCCTCGCACAGCAGGTATAAAGGTCGTTGCGGCACATGTGGGTGTGCCTGCCTCAGATGCCCACATGACGACGGGATGGAATGAAATGACTGCTAAGCAGAAAGAACTCCACCCTGAAGTCCAGCAGACTCACTTGGCAAGGACTGAGCTGTGGCATTCAACTCACTATCATAGCAACCCCCTCCAAGACCACCTCTTGACGTTCCTGTAGATGCTGGGCATGTGGTCACCAGGGTGCCTTCTCTGCCCTCTCCCAGAGCCTTTGCAGATGGTGGAACAGTCCAGATAAGGGAAACTGCATCACAGCTCCAAAGTTCAGTTAAAACAATTTTAATACAGGTTTCCAGTAAATTTCTCGCGGCAAAAGCAAGCTCTGCTTTTAAAACATTTCAACACAAGCAAAAGATTTACTTGATTTTTCTCTCAAATCAGTAAAAAATTGTCTCCAGTGTTCTCATCTATTTTCTAGTAAGATGGTACTGTATCATTTAAATTCCTGAGCATTTTCATGCTAGTGAAAAATGAGCTTGACTATTTAATCTACATTGTTAATAAACTGAAAAAGTTTCCACTGATAAATACTTGCTGCCAGTGGTAACATTTTACCTTATGTGCTTTCCTAAAGAGAAACTCCAGTTCATTATAAAATAACAAGTAACTAAGCATGTTTTTAGGCTGGGCAAAAGCCTTTAAGAATAAAACAGGCAGTTGTTATCAGATAATATTTTAAATTTAATTTCCTACACATGGGGAGAAATTCACACCAGGTTGGAAAGGAGAAGCAGGAGATTAAGGCAAAGTAATCTGTATTTACATGTAGGTCAATGAATTGTATCTGAAAAACTCAAACATTTAATGTTTAAACTTAGAAACTCTCAAACGGTAAAATGCCAGTCCTTCAAACAACCATTTGCTTATTTTTTTAATTCAACATTTTAAGAAAATTAAGACACACTGGCCAAATATGAAACCAATTAAAATTGGCAGAATGTGCTCACATGTTTTTCCTAGGTAACCAATTCAGATTATGCCTTTAAAGTTTTTAGGGGGCTACAACTTCTCCCTCAGTTTTTCAATTCCTGTTAAACTAAGCTCAGTCTAGGTATTTTTCAGTACACATTTTATTATTTTAGAAGCGCTTTAAAAATAATTACATTCTATATAAAGTAACTTGACCACTACCAAAATTCCCAACTAGAACTAAATCAGGTCACTTGAATCTCTTTTCAATTATCCTAATGAGATTTAAGTACATGAACAAGAGAAATCCACAAAAATTCAAATCAGCTCGTTCCTAAAAACAAGATTTGTGAAAACGCTTTACCTGGAAGAGAGCTCAATCTGGAAATAGGCATACAGATGACATTTTGTGTAGCCATCTATCTTTGCACACAGCACCAGGGAACGGCAGAGCAAACCCCTCCTGCCCTCCCGCACGCACTCACCAACACCTAACCAGATACACGCAGCCCTGGTTTAAATTAAATTCGAGCTTATTGTTTGGCTCAAGCTGGGAGTAGGGAGATGGGGGAGGAGCAGGCAGAAACCCTAACCCCACCTTGCAAAACCCAGAAAGGCACAGGACAACCCCAGGGACACTGGGAGGGTACAGCCTTTCCAGTTAGTTACAGAGCCAAAATCTGGCCTGCTCTGGAAAAAGGAGCCATGTCTCCAAAATACTTCAGAGGCCATAACAGTCTGCAAACATTCTCTAAAGTGACACGCTACACATGCTGAGAAGAGAAATACCCCTGCTTAAGTAGCACAAATCTAGTAAGCAAAAAATATACCTTAAAAGGGGAGGGGAAGACAAAGGCGGTAACTACAGAAATCTATTATGTATAGCTTTGGAGTGACCAAAAGGTATTTCTGGGCTGGAGAAGCCCAGGCGTTCGCTCACGTGTTCCAATACCCGCGGGCCAGCAAACAGGGGAAAGGCAAATTCCTCTCTTCTCAGATGCGCCCCGGGCCTCCCAGCTCCGGACAGGGAAGGAAAGGAGCGCCACCCCGCGCGTGTCCGCAACCGCTTTCCGCTACCTTGTACCTAAGGGTGTGGGGGGTCATCCCTTGCTCCCTAAGTCCTGCAGACTCCCCAGGTCTGCCCGTTGAGACTTTTGATTTCGATTTCCCGTTGTAGCAATTTGACCTGCTCTGACACAAAACATCTAGCTGTGAGCTTCCTTGAGAGATTCTGATAACCAATAACAACAACTGAGCGGCAGGGGCCACAGCACTAGCAACACACACAGCCCTACCACAAACGCAAGGGGAAAAGAAACGCCAAGCCATATAGCAGCCTGGTAAGCACAAGAGGCCAAGAAGTTGTTTTCAGCTGAGTCTTTCCTCCCAGTAATGGAGTGGGAAGAGAATCGGTGAAAACAGAATATAAGCTCACCTTTGCCTTTTTGGGACCGAGTGCTCAACTTCTATGGGTTTCCCGTGCAGTTCCATTTTACCTGCGGACACACAATAAGTGAGAGAAGGTCGGCCGGGTTCAGCGGCTCTCCCCACCCTAAGGACAGGCACAGCCTAAGCGGCGACACAAATGGCCTCCTGAGACCCCGAATTGCCCCCAAGGCCCGGACGCGGCTTAAGGCCTACAGAGTAGCCGGGTATCACACGGGTGGGAAGCCGACCCCCTTGGATGGGTGTGGATTTTTAACTTACGGATGGTTGGAGAAGAGGATCCATTGGCGAGCCCACTGCTTGGGTAACATTTTAGTCCCCAGGACTCTCCCGCCCACCTAGGGGGGTTATCCAACCCCACAAGGCCCGCAAGAGGGACACTGCCCACGGGACAAACTCGGGGGAAGAGGCTACATTGGTTTTCTTCAGGAGGGAGCTCCCCGGCCCTTCTCTCTGCTTGATCCCAGGCCCGCGGGAACACTAGGCGGTGGGGCTGGGGAGGACAGGGAGTGGCGGGAAAGGGCCGGGGACGACAGGAGGGAGGAAAGACAAGTGAATGGCCAGAGGTGCCTCTCAACACAGACTGAACCAGGAGCAAAGAACGACGAGGCTCCCGCACTGGGTCGGAGTTGACAACAGGGAAGCCGAAAGGCAAGAGGCTCCCAGAGGGGCCCCAAGCGCAGCCCTCCCCGGGGGCGTTCTGCCCCGCCAGGCACGGTCCTCCGCCTTGGATGAGCCACCCTGCCACCCCAGAGGCCGCAGCCCCGCGCCGGGGCCCAGAGAGCGGCGGGTGGCCCAGAGCCGTGACGGCGACTCCCTCCCAGGCGACAAGCTGCCGCCCCCGCCCACCTGCCCCTTTGGCTTGTCGGACCAGGAGAGGTGGAATGTGGAATAGGGAAACCGGGCGCACTCGCTCGCCTCCCGCAGGGTGGAGAGGAAGCGCGGGGCCGCCTGTGCGAGGCACCAGCCCTCGGCCTCACTCGGCAGCCGGGTCGAGGCCACTTTCCATTCTCCAAGGCCGGGGGGGAGGGCAGCGCAGCCAGCGCCGTAAATAACGACCAGAGGAAAGCAGGAAGGAAGGAGGAACAAGCGGACGTTCAAGCTCGGCCCAGCTTGCCGGGCCTGGAGCACGCGCCTGGGCCCAGGCGGGGCGCGGGTGGAGCGCGCCTTCCCCCAGCCCCGCGCCCCTCCGAGCCGGCGCCGGGGCTTTCTTGACAGCGCGTCCGCCCTCACCCAGCAAACCGCGGCCTGGGGAGGGGAGCCGCGGGCCCGAGTGGGCGCCGAGGCTGCGGGGAGCCCGCGGCCCCACGCGAGTGGGCACTCGGGCCTCAGCCCCGCTCCCCGCCCGCGCCGGGCCTGGGGCTCGCGGAACCGCCTCGGTGGGCCCGGGCCGGCGGCGCAAGGCTGGGGCGGGAGCCCGAGCGGGGCCAGGCCGGGGCCCACCTGAAAGCGCCTCGATGGCCTTGAGGGCCCAGCTCTCGTCCGGGCAGTCCACGAACGCGTAGCCCGTCTTCACCAGGAAGGGTCCCGACACCGGGATTTTGGCGTCCTTGAAGATACTTTCTAGGTCCGAGGGGGCGGCGTTCTCGCTGAGGTTTCCGATATACAGTTTGTTCATCGTGCAGACTGGTGGTTTAAAAAAATTAATGAGAAAAAGGAAAAATTAAAACCACCCAGTGATGGATGGATCCGGCGGGTTTTGTTCCCCTCGTCTTCTGGCCTTTAAAACACACAAACACAGTAAGAACCAAGCACTAGAACGAGGAGCGAAAAATCAGATCCGAGGGTTCTTGTCCTTTTCCAGATACTTAAAAAAAAAAGAAAAGAAAGAAAGAACAGAAAAAGCCTAGCTACAACCCAAACGCATCAACGAGTCTTCCTAACTCTGAGGAGGAGGCGGGATTAGTAAGAGAAAGGAGAAGGAGGAGGGGAAAAACTACTTTTTGTCTCTTCCTCTCCAACCCCTTTGGCATCGGCCAGCCGACTGTGAAAATATCACACTACGTGAGGCAGGCGCCGCCTCCCCATAAAAAACCCAGAAGGGTGACTGGCAGGAGGGAGGGGAGAGGGGGAGGAGGGAGGAAGGCGCAGGAGGCGGAAAAAATCCGCTCCGAGTGTCCGGCTTTTTGAATGAGCCACGTGTTCAAACTACAAATCAACGTCTCACGTGAGGAATCCCAGCGCCTCAATTAAAGTGGGTTTCGGAGGAGAAAAAAAAAGAGCGAGCGAGAGGAAGAGGGGGAGGGGAAACGAGATGGGGCGAGGGACCCTGAGAAGGGGGAGGAGGAGGAGGGAAAAAATGCTAGAGAAGCCGCAGCCCGGCGCCGAGGGGAGCTGATTGTCACAACCCGAGTTTAGAAAGGGTTATCTGGTCAGGGCCGATCCAGGGAGGGAGGGTTGGAATATTGATTTTTTTTTTTTCCAACGAGGAAAGGGGTGGGGTGCTAGGCAATTCCTCAGCTCTAGTTACCGTAGTTTTAACCATTCACTTTTTTAAACAGGTAATTAACAAAACCAATGAGTCTCAATCCCGAACTCGCCTGGTGGCTTTAATGACATGAGAAGTGTAACCCCAGCAAAGCCGCCAGCACGTTTCCAAGGCTGGCAGGGACGGAAACGCAGCGGGGCTGGGGGCGGGACAGGCGGGCGGACTCGCCCCACCCAGTGCACCCTCGTCGGGCCCGGGGCACCGCGGGAGTGGGGCGGCCCCGAGCCGGGGCGGTGGGGGATGGGAGCCCGCAGCGTCCTGGGCGGGTGTCTGGGCGACACCTCCTCCGCCTGTGCTCGCGGTGGCTCTCGGCTTCGCGTTTGCCATTGGTTGCGCGATTCAGAAAAGGCTCCGGGATAAATGAGGCCGGGGGCGGGCTAGGCCACTGGTGGGGGAGGGGAGCGCAGGGGCGGAGGTTTCTGGCTTGGGGATGGGGGCGTCGGGGGACTGGGCGGCTGGAGGAGAGAAGTCAGAGTGGGAAAAGTCGGTATTTAAAGGGAAACCTTCCCTTTCTGTAGTTTCTGGAGAGGGAGGAGTGGTGTAGGCTGGTGCTTTTATTTAAATAATTTTAGTTGGAGAACTTGGGACTTTTAAACAGGAAGACCGCTCAGCCTTACCCATAGGTGGTATTCGCACTTGAAAAATCGTTCGAGGCTTTTCTGCCTGCATTTGGCCATGAGAGCCATTCATAATTTTCCCTATAAGTAACGAGTACAATGGTGGGTGTGGGGGAGAGGCTCTGGGCCCAGTGGAGCCTTTGTGGGCCAACAAAATGTGAACTGGAGACGAGGAATACGGAAATGAGGGCAGTGCTGGGGATCTTGTGGAAATCTCCAAGTGTCGTTTAATGATTGTGTACTCAAAGGCTTCATTTGCACCAGATTGTTGTGGTATACTTTTAACAGGTACTCCATGAAAAAGACTTAAAATGCTAATTTTTAAAAAGTGAAAGAAATTCTATATTACATGAAAATGTAAAGAAGAATCTTTAATGACTTGGTACTGTTACTGGTAGAAAAAGTATCGTGAATAGAGGAAATATTGTGATTTACACTAGAAACGCCTTCAGTCATTAATTGATATAGTTCGCTTCTCTTTGTGAAGCCCGTTCATGGCATTTAAAAGTGTGTATATTCCAATTGAAAGAGGAACAGCAGTTTATTTTTAAAGCATGGGAATTATTGCATGATATAAAGAGTATTTACATTTGTCTTTTACAAACAACATACTTTGTAATTTTGTGCTAAGTAACCGGAAGGTGTCAGATTATTTTAAATGAAACTGTTCTAACAGGTTTTCCTTTCCTGCTAAGCAAATCCAACATTTTAAACCTAAACACACTTTCACAATAATTTCATTCATGTTTAATTTAATGAAATGCTTTTACTTTGAGATGGGGGAAACAAACGTGTTCCTGTATAACAATGTTTAGAACTATATTTTGAGCTCCATATTGAATGAACATTTTGGTGATAAAATTTCTCTTTATGTTTAGGTTTGACTTTTAAGAAGAGCTTACATTTTTCATGTTTTTTTAAAAAGAAGACCTTGGTTATAAAAAAGAAAAAATACATATTCTATTGTATGCAAAATGTAAATATAACAAATTATGAATTTATTTTAAATGTACCTGTTGCATGTGATCAAAAGCCATTTGGAGAAATATGCTTTTCATTCATTTAATAATTTTTGTTCTTAATACCACTGTAAATGTTATAGTCTCTTGATCACTTAACTCTTAGTAATTTTTCTTAAGAATAAATTCTGTATGTTCAGCTTGCTTCCAGAGTCAATTGAACGGTGGCTTCTGGATTGTTGATTGTATTTGCTCTTATTAAAACTGAGACCTAAGGAAATATCTACTTCTAAAGCATGGGATAAATTGTTTATTTTCCATAAACACTAGCCCATGGTTGTCTGTCATTATCAAACAAACCTAACAGCTGGAATTTAAAACAAGTGTGTGCTGTTTTGATGAAGTATGTTCCTGGGACTCTTGTGAACTTAATCTGTGTATTATTTTAACAAACTGGATACTCCATCTAGGACCTTAAAAACATACACTAGTAATATAAGCTCAGACATCAGAAAGGGAGGTGGATACAGTCCACTCCACTTCCAATCTTCCAAGCATTCAAGGAATAACTATATCCTCAATGGCTGAGTAAAAAGATCATGGATAGTTGTTTTTTACTTCAAGTGCAAAAATATCTTTGGTGTGAATTTTCAATAACGAATATAAAGTCAACCTAACTTCCAGTTTTTTAATTAATCTCACACAAATTAACTGTTTATGGGCTACTCCAGGTTCTTCCTGAAACAGTTGTAGCTCCTAATTAATGTCAATTCCACCAAGAAAGAACTCCCACCCATCGTATCTGCTCTCGGATGCGGCTGAATCTTTCCAACTGCAGTCTGTTTACTCTTTGGACAGCTGTACCTCCTCATCTGCTGACCTGAGGACAGTAAAAATACTTCTTATGGGTCAGTATACTATTAAAGGAGAAAAACTATGTTTAGAAGGTCGGTTACCAAATCCACAGGTTATAGGAGAAGGCTGAGCAGACGAAGAGGGGGAAAGGGCAGTCCTGCTGCCAACCCTGCCTGAGAGCAGCCGGGAGCCAAAGCCCCTCACGCGGGTGGGCACACAATGCCCGCCGCGTCGCCTGGGCCTCCTAGGAGGTATTTTAACACGCTCTTGCTCTTTGGAACAGCTCTCCTGGACTCTGATCTGTTTAAACCAGAGGCGTGATAAGTGGTAACCTGGATCTACCCTCTTTTATTTTTGTTTAAAATAAAAAATGGTGCCCCAGGAGATGAGAAGATGGGGTCGTTTCCTTTTTCCTCTGGCTCAGCCCGGAGAAAGAGGGCGGGATCCTTGCAGCTCACACTGGGGAAGGGCTGTCGTCGGCCGCCTGCTCGCCTCGGGGGCCCTGACCACTGGACCGCCCTCCCCCGGCCCTGCAGCGGGACCGCGGGCTCTGGCTCCGCCTCGGGTGGCCTCTGTCGGCGCGGAGCCGTGGGGCCGGCTAGACGTGCGGGCCGGGGGCAACCTCTGCGCTTCCCCTCGCCGCACCATCCCACCTGAGATCCTCCCTCGCCCGCGAGCCGCGGGCACGGACCAGGCAGCGTGCGTTTGGCGACCGTCCCGCAGCTCCGGCCTCAGTGTCGTGTAAGTGCGGGGTTCCCTGGCGCTCGGGGATGCCTGGTACCCACGGAGGAGGAGGCTGAGAGGCCCCGGCCGAAGCCGGCGGGGCAGCCGGGCGGGCGCACAGGGCGCGCTGAAGCGGCCCCGGGGCGGGGCTCCCGCGCTCCACGGGGTCGACTCGCCGAGACCAAGTTGAGCAACCGGCGTCGAGAGAGACGCCGCCCCGGCCGAGGGCGGGGGGCTTCTCCCCTCACCCGATTGGTGCAGGCGGGGAGCCTATCACCGTCGGCCGCCGCCGCCGCAGCCGTTTGCTGGTTTCCACTCATTGGCCCCGCAGCCGTCCCTGGATTTCCATCTTTTGTGGCGCGAAAATAACCCTTTGCGCCCTCGTTGGTTTTGTTGAGATTGAGGGCTGGTTTTGTGTTCCCCTGTTCTTGCTCTCATTTTTCCTGCCCTTTAACTGCTCGCCCCCAGCCCCAACCCCCAAGGCGGAGAGAGGGCGGTAACTATTAGGAAGGGTAGAAAATTTAGTGTCCGGGTGTGGAGCCCGCCCCTTGGGCTGACCGCGTGGTGCCCGCAGATCCCCTCCCTTCCCCCAACGTCCAGCGCCCGGAGGTCCTGGGTCTGCGCCATGCTCAGCAGCTGGAGTCACATCTTCGTTTCCATGTCCATTTCCAACATCTTAGAATGTATACGTCTTTTTTCTTTAAAACAACTGCACTAAATTTGCAGAAGCCTGAACTCTCTTGGGCTTCTGGAGAAATCGATCCGTTCTGCCCCCCTCCCTTTCTAACCCCCTTTGTGGTCCACAGGGTTGCTTGAAGCAAAACCAAACAACCCCTCCAAAAAAAGCAAACGAAAAATTCCGGGTAAAATCAACTATGCGGAGACCACGTTTTCGTTGAATCTGCCTTAAGACCAATGAAGCTGAGACCTACCTTGAAGGATTGATTTCTGTAGCTGAAATGTTCTAATTTTACTGACGTTTGGTGGAGACGGTGAGAAAAAATAAATATGAATTTGACTTGGAAAAGCACAAGACAAACGAAATAATCATATTTAATTTGATTAACTGAAAAGGCAAACAAACACAGTAGTGTATTCTAAATGCTGGTATCTTTGATGGGTTTGTAATTATGTAAATAAATTGCTATTGGTCTTCTCAAAAATAAAGATCAGAACTCTGGTCGTGACATAAAAGAAGGAAGTAAAAATTTGTTTGGTATATCTATTATAATTTCATAACAGACTTTACCAATCTTTAATTATCTGGAGAAAAGGAAATGTAACAGTTAAGAATGTAACTTAATTTGTTCACAGATAATTTAATTGTTCATTTTTTTAAGTCTTGACAAAATACTCGATTTGGTTAAAAACTAGTAAAACGATAATTCCTCAGTA